CGTGGTCGTTCGCGTTCGTGCCACGCGATTTTGCAGATGGCACATCCAAGGCTTGTTAAACTAGACAATAACGACCGGTTATTAATTTCGGTGACAAATCAGATACTCGATTTGACGTGTCATTTCAATCTCGGAAATTTCGAAGAAGAACTTACAACATTGAAGCGTCATTTTTCGATAATAATTTTTTCTTCGTGAGATTAAAAAAAAAATCTAGCGGCAACAATTAAATCCAAATTAATCTTTTATTTAGATTTAAATTAATTAAGTGATGGAATAGAAAATATTTTTTTCGCGCAACAAAAAAACATTGTTGCCTTTTTATATTTAAAAAAATTAATTTCCCAAGACACGCACACAGTCTGTCTTCGAAATTGGATCGCCTTCGGGTGCGCGGAGATGATCACTATTTTCGGTTTTCCGAGTCGGAAGAGTTACATTCGCGCGTTCGGATATGCCGTCTTTGTCGCTTCTATAGAAGCTCCATTAATACTCGGTAACGCAATAAACTATATTTAGGGGGCGGCATGGCGTGTACGTAGTATGATTTGATATCTCTCGTGAAACACCACATGGCCCCTCTGAATTTCTCTCTCCTTCTCTCTCTCTCTCTCTCTCTCTCTCTCTCTCTCTCTCTCATTTTTCACCCGTCACCGCCGCACACGCTCCTTTTCCGCTCTATCTCTCCCTTTTCCACCAAGAACCTTACCGCGTTTGTCGTTTTTAACTTTTTCGCCGCTCGCTGAAAGATTAATTCTCTAATCCGTATCGAATCTTTTTGCGGTCAACATTCAAAGAAGTCGCGTATCTCGAGATAACGTCTAACAAAATTAAATTTCTATCAAAATCGTCAGAAGTTTGTCGAGCAATTGCAAAACTTTACTTACAAATAAAGTTTTTTCGTTTTATTTAATTATTTTAACGAGAATAAGCTGTTTTCGGTGTAAAAATTAGAGACAAATATTTAAGATAATGTCGCAGTAATAACAAAATAAAATAAAATATAAGTAACGTTAAAAATAAAAAAAAAAAAAAACAAGACAATTCTGCACGTAAGAGTTTTTTCCTAAAATCACGATTATGGAGATATCGCGGACACTTTCTTCTCTTAAAATGAACCAGCATGGAAAGTAACAAGCACGAATAATTAATGTGTCCGAATAATTTGCAGCGCTCGTTTCTTTTTTTTCATTTTTCCCGAAATACGGAGAATTTTGGTGATTCGGATGAGGTGCGCCGGAAAAAAGAAACGAGGAGAATAAACGAAAAGAGGAACCACGTGTCATCGGCGGGAAAATAAATAAATTCCGCAGGCCGTGCAACACGATAAAGCGCAGAACACTGCCGTATACTCCCTACGTTTACGTTTTCGCCGCTCTTTTCCGAAAGAAATGGCCTACTTAACGACGGAAATAATAATTAGTGAACGCGTCGACGTTCGATGCGCGCGCGCCCCGGAAATCTCCGGGACACGAGACCGGCACGCGTCCTTTGTATATCCTAATTCTAAACAACATTCTCTGCCCCGCCGACACGCTTCGCCAAGTTTATTAATTCGCTCGCGCACATTTTTTTTACTTTTGAAATAAAAAAAACAATCGTGTGTGACCTAATTTTTAATTTTTTCTCAGTTTGCAAAACATATATTGCTGGAATATTTGTCACAAAAATCGAAATTTTAAAACGTGCGTTTGTACAGGACGGACTTACATCGAAAGGATCTTTCCGGAGTATATCATCAAGAGCGGCGTTCGATTCGGTCTCATTTTCCAAAATGAGACTTCGAGTGTTTCGGCGACCGAAAAGGGCTCGAGTGCACTCGGGGGTGTCCTGCGGTTTCCCACAGCCGCGCGCGGGGCAGAAGCGATTAGAGGCGATTAGAAGGTGTTCTGGATTGCGTTTCACCACCGCAAACGCGCGAGCGGCTGTATTCCTACCGCCATATCTCCCCTTCTCTATTCCCGACGTCAGTTGCACCCCCGTCGAGTCGAGCATAGCAGACATACGCCGCCACAACGGATCACCCCGAGAGGTTTACGACTCAAGTTTCGCGCATAAAAACATCCCGAAATCAATTTCGCAATTAATGCGATTAAAACAATTTCACTTTGCGTCAAAATGAATTGCGGCGAGCAAAATTCAAGAAATGCGCGTAAAAAGATCAAATTTGAATTTTACACACACACACATGTTAACAAAAAAATATTACAATAACTAAACTACAATAACAATTAAGTCTTCTCTTCGAAAGAAACAAAATTGTATAAACCCACACAAACTCGATTTTTATCAAAAATTAAACTTTTATATTAAAAATATTTTTGTTTTGCTTGTTAATTTCATCAAATAATCTGAGCTAATTATTATATCGCATCGAGGACGTCGAAACGCGCGTCCCGATGGGCCACTGCAGATATCGAAGTGACATACGGGACCTAAAGATAAAGGGTCGTGCAGGAAGTCGAAGGGGGATGTTCTCGCGCAGGACGAGATGATTCTTCCTGCGCCAGATCACCGTGCACTCCTCCATCCCCTGCTATCACGATTATTACTTAATAGATATCGCGACGAGCTGCCAGGCGTGCGAGGGCGGAAAGAGAGGGGGAAAGAAAGACCCTTTATTATATCGTGCGTTATTATCTCGCTCTTTCCTTCTCGCCAGCACGTCCTGCGCACATCGTTCACCGTAAGGCGGTGACTCCTGGTTGGTTCATTCCCTGCCCAACCCTTGGTGCGAAGGGCTGCCTGTTGGCCGAACGAGGGCTACGAGAGGGGGGACGACTCGAGACACGACGATGATTCGTTTCGATTCTGCGGTTTGTGTATCAATGAACTAATTAAATTCTCTAGAATTTACTCGAAGTTTTTGAAAATCGATAATCAAATTGCGTAAAATTGAAAAAATACAAAAATAAATTATGAAATAAATTGTTTGAAAATTGCGACGAACGTCCGAACCAAATCGATCTGATTCGAAATCGAACAGTTATTTCTGTTCGAACGCTGACGGCGAATAATCGTCGCTCCTCGAAAACGCCCCTATCTCTCGGTACTAAATAAGTGGTTCACGAAGTAAAGGAGCGGTGGCATCAAAGTAAAAAAAAAAAAATTTACTCGTCTTTATAAGTGCTTCTTTTAATCGCGGCATTTCTCTTTGACGAAACCATCACCGATTCTGTCAAGAAGCTCCTGCGGCTTTTGCCGGCGAACTGGAAGCCGGCCACTTGACCGATCACTTTTCTCCAGAAAAGACTATCTGCCAGAGACCGGAGAAGAAAACCGAAAGTGCGACGATTATCAGACGCGAAGGAATGTTGAAAAAAAAAAAATACCGATGGATTTTTCGAAAAATTTCCAATCTACTCTCGGGTTTTTTTTTTAAATCCGTCAGTTATTTGTAACAGTCCACTTAGTGATAAAAAAACAAATTGACGAATCTAGTTCACGATTAGATAACTGGATGGAAAATAATTATTTGACTATTGCACGCATACACACACTGGCGTCTGGTTTCTCTCGGGAATAGAGCCAGACGCCCGCGCCCTTATCGCGGATTAATGCATTCACGTGGTTTTTTATTCACTTGTGCCATAAATTGCTTCGATCTCGCGTCACAAATACATCGCGCGCGCGAACAGTCACAGAAAACTCACATAAAAAATTCAAATTTTTTAGAAATAAATTACTTACAATTTAATTAAAACAATTGAATATCTTAATCACACATTCATCTAAAAAATTTATTTCGTACACAACAACCGGATGTTGTTTCCCGATTGAATAATTGTCGCAACCATAACTCTCGTTAAAACGCAAGAAACAAGTGCCAAGACTTATTATTTATACGCGAACAGGTTGTTAGAGGGTTGAAAAGTCCCGCGGGACCACCGAGCGTCTTCCGGAGACGTTTCCCTCCGACTTCGGCGTCGGATGTTTCGTTTTTAAACCGAGAAAACTCGGGCGTCGAGCGCGCGAGGGAAAGTTTTTTTCTCTCTTCGATACATCTCGCGGCGGATATTACGAGGCTCGTACGTCTCGTTCCGTCATCTGGAAAAAGTAGCGTGTCATCGTAAAAGTAGGTTGATCCACTGCGTCTTTTTTTTTCTTGCGCGTTTACATGACAACCCGATGTAATTACTAAACGTCGTTGGAATTAAAATATAAAAATTTTTTAACGCGCGCGCAAACCAGACCGGGACAACAAAAATGCCGACCGCGTCGTGAAAATAAAAAAGACGTTATTTTGAAACTATACACGCATTGAAATAATAAGTTTAAAAAACTATTTTCTGTTATGCAAAGTATTTTCAATAACGTAATTCTACCTAGAAAGAAATCCGATTATTCGCCTCAAAGAAACACATTTGACTCGAAAGTTATTTTTCTCGAGAGAAAATTCGCACACTATTCGAAACTCTCTCGAGTAAATTTTCCGTGAACGCGACAGAGCGAAACCTTCGCGCACTTCGCGCGTCTTCGTTTCTATGTAATTCGCGAACCCCCGATATCTCACGGCTAATATTGCGATGTTACACCGTGTTCGTGTTGCGTATGTGCGCGGCGGACGCGCGTCTGTGAGCGCTCGATTCGAATCGGAAAAAAGACGAGAGCGCGCGACGACCGCGATGGCGATATCTCGCGAATCGAGCCACCGGGGGAAGGAAGGAACGGCGGCTTCCTCCGGGCATGTCATACCCTAAATCATATGACCCCACTTCGCCGTCGACGGCGCGAGCTCCCTCAATTTACTAATTGAATCTCCGGGGTCCCCCCGCAAACACCAGGGGCGTAGACCAATCAGGGCTCCGCCCGTTTATAGGGTCGGAGTCATGAAAGAGAGCCCCCTCCGGAAACACCCACTCGTGTTCGCCTCGCGACCGCCGCGGCTACCGCCAACCGACGTCGAGGCGACGACGGCAACGAGCAGCACGATGACGACGACGACGACGACGACGACGACGAAACCGCATCGAGGGAAGGGGGGAGAGCAGAGAGATCGGGGTACCGCACCGAATTCCGCTTTCTCACTTTGGACTGAACTCAGTGTCACTTTGACGTCCGAGACCGCGTTGAGATAGTAAGAGCGGAATCTCCGGATCGCGCTTCGTTCCCCGGTCGAGGTGCGGAATCGCGGGTGACACAGTCCGCGTAAAAAGTTCGCGAGAAACGAAAAGATTCGACCGCACAAGTCGAAATGGCAAACAATATCGCACGTGTCGCATGAGCTTCCTTCGTTCCGCGGAGATTCGAGTGGAAGAGAACTTCGCGATCGAGAAAAGTATCGAAACGTACGATGATCTTATAAGATACAGAGAGATCTAACCGATGTAAAAAAAAAGAAAAAAAATTAATAATCGGATTAACGGTGGACTTTGTCTTCCGCGAGGCGAGACTCGAGTGGAGGACACACTTGGGACAAAGTATAACATAAAACGTTAAACGAAACCAGTTTTGTCCCACAAAAGAGGGACAAAAATTCTGGATAACATCTGTCGTACGCGAATGAGAGAAATGTAAAATATTACAATCAATGCGGAAATAAAACAGCTCCGAATTTTATGTAATGATTAAAAAATATTAAAGACGAAGTCGACGACAAGTTCAAATCGGGATATCGAGGTGAGCGCGCGATTTTGTGCAAAAAAAAAAAAAAAAAAAAAAAANAATCAGTGACGAGTTGCGACAAAAATTGAAGGATTACAATATAGGGACACATCATGTTCGGCGGATACGAGGCCCAGACGGAATGTTATCCGCAGTGGCATCAGCCATATAATTATGTCACTCAGCTCCCCTACGGTGAGTGTAGAATCGAAAACCGGAAATCGAAATCGCTGATCGGTTTTAATTAATTTCCAAAGAATTAACTTGGATAAAATTTTTAACCGTTTCTTCAACTAATGTGCTAATTTTTCCGTACGCGCCAAACTGTTCTCTCTCGCGTACTTGCAAAATATCGTTTTTTTTTTTTTTTTTTCGTTTCGGTCAAGATCGTTGTCATAATTTTATTCAACAGATTGCAGCAAAGCAGTCAGAATATTTATGCTATTTTTAATGCGCGGTAACGCACGCTTAATGAAATGATCTATTTTACATGGAAAAAATATTCCGCACAAGTAAAACTTGATTTTCCAGTTTGCACGCTCAGGAGATCGACCTAATTTTCGCTTCTCTTTTATCACACATTCCTTTCGTCAATTCACGCACGGCGAATAACTTGCAATTATCGAGTGACGAAAGAGAAGCGTACGAACTAATGAGTTTCATATATTTAATGAATAAAAAGAGAGAGAGAGAGAGAGAAAAGATATATAAAAAATGAAACGATTAATAAAACGACAAACTTGTACAAAGTAATTACATCGCGAGAAGTTCATGAATATTACATTGCACGCACGTGAGAATTTCTCGTGCAAGAAAATACACATTTTGCGTTATGTGCTTTATGCAAATGATTCTTTTAATAGTCCAACATTGTGGTCACACTGACGTGGTCACACTGACCACGTTAAGTCAAAATATTCCATTTCTATTTTTAATGAACAATTTATTTCTGTAAAATAACTTTTTCAAAATTCACAATCGTAATTTATAAAGAGCAACAATTATCGCAATCTGAATTACGATCAAATCGATCGTATCGTTTGTTGCATCATTGCAATGTGAAAACATATTCCAATCGAAATTAAACGATTTTGTCCGAATGATTTCGAAAATTTATTCTTCTCTACTTCGCAAACCAAACGCGATAATTAAACAACAAAAATAATTAAACGCGAGAGCGAATCTACTAAAATTATTCTACGCCTTTAATCGATTCTCAAGTCTCGACGCAGCTATCGATCGCATAAAAAAAGGCGAACCCTAATTTCTCGGCAGGACCGCCGTTTGGCTCATTGCCCGACGCCGACAGCCAATCGCCGTACTACGGGGGCGCGGATTCCGGTATATCGGGGGGCAGCTCGGGGGCGGGTAGTCCCACGGCGTCGACGCCACCCCTGATCGAGGAGATCGGCGTCCAGGAGCCGAGCTACTCTTCTCTACAACCGCCGTACGTGCACCCCTCGGCCGGTCAGCATTACGCCACCTTGCAGTATCCGCAAGGACAGCAGGAAACGTCACCCCATCATCATCACCACCATTCGCACCATCACCATCCGCCTGGTCATCGACACGAGTTCGCGAGCGGTCATCAGATCGGCCAGCAGATCGTCGGCGGCGTGACGGTCGGCACCCTTCAGCAGCATCTCCATCCGCAGGGGATTGTTCACGAGGGCGGTGGCGTCACGGTCAGACCGAAGAGGCGAAACACCGCGAACAAAAAGGAACGCCGTCGCACGCAGAGCATAAACAACGCCTTCGCCGATCTGAGAGATTGCATCCCGAACGTCCCGTCCGACACCAAACTGTCCAAGATCAAGACCCTGAGGTTGGCGGCGTCGTACATCGGATACCTGATGGCCGTTCTCGAGAGCGACGAGGGGGAAGAGCCGCAGACTTTCCGCGCCGAGATTCTCTCCAACGGCAGGAGGAACAGAGCGACTCAACCGAATCAGGTGAGCTCTCGATTTTGGTGACGCGATCCCGCGCGATCATAAAATTATCTTACGACGTTACAATATTTAATTCGAAACAATATTTTAATACCGCGATAAAATAATTCTCGTATCGAGAAAATCAGTTTTTACTCGAAAGAACATTTCGACGAAGTTTTTTTTCTAAAAAAAGCTCCTCGAAAGCTGTTCGCGCACGGATCAGAAAATCGTTTCGGACGCAAAAGTACTTCGGAACGAATCGTTCGGGCTTTTCTGAATCTCTCTTGAAACACACTTTTATCAACGTCGCCCTAACGTAAATATTCGCCTCTTTAATTGGGCCTACGTTGATCGTCGGCCTGAGAACTCGACCTTAAAGCCATCAACGTGCCTCGGGATTTGTTAAAGACGAGTCGTGCTCGAAATTCTCACGCGATCATTAATTACAAAAATTCCGACGACTCGCGAACGAATTGATTTATGGTCAATTGAACACACGCAACAACATAACGTCGCAACAACATAACGATAATAAATAATAAACATAATATTAATATCACTGTTTATATAATAAAAAGATATTCCGCTTTTTACCGCAATTAACGATCTTGGCGAATATAAAAAAAGTTTGTCCTTCCTTTCAGAAAAACTCATCTCGCACGAAACTACAAACAAAACCTATCTCGAACGTTTCGGTAAAGTTTTCGGGTCGTTGCTCTGAAAAGATACAGCGGAAAACGCGACTAAAGGGAAAAACAAAGAAAATTAACGGGAACGTCTATTGGTTTTCCGCCCACTCGTTAGTTTCTGATCACGGCGTTCGAAAAATATTCTCTAAACCTGTGTTTTGTGGAATTATCTTTATTTTCCGCGATCGTTCGCCACCCACGTAGAAGATTTCCCGCCCCGGTCACCTTTCGTTAAAGGTCGCCGTAATTTTCACTCGCGGTCGATCATCAATCGCCTTTCTCTCTCAATTATCAAAGCTGCACTCTCGGTAATTGTCAAAAATCCGTTTTTTTTTTGGGGGGGGAGAGATCTCCGAAAATTCGTCTTCTTCCGTCGAACTGAGAAGACGAAAAGAATCGACTTTCAAAGACGACTTTCGGCGTAGGAAGATTGATTTTTTTTGCTTTTTATGGAGACGTTTGTCATCGAGTGTGTTTCTGTTTCTTCGTAGACCGAGTCGTGTTTGCAATCCGGCCCGAATCTCGGCCACGAGGAACCGACCAAGAGTAAAGGACGAACAGGCTGGCCGCAGCACATGTGGGCCCTCGAATTGAAGCAGGAATCGCCGCCGACCGGCCAGATGCAATAAAGCAACGACGCAGAGAGACACACTACCCCGTGTCAAAACATATCCGTGATATTTCACGAAAAATATCGCGCGCACGAAACGTGACGCGTTTTTTTTTTCTCGCGTCCCGACGCTTCTCTCGCCGTCGGAGAGGAGAAAAAGGCGACGGGCCGCGATTTTTTTACGACCGACGCCGTCTTTCAAACAATTCTCGCGTGACGATGACGAATTCGAAAAGATCTCGTGAAAAAAAAAATGTATCTCGTTTGAGAAAGAAACATTCGATTTTTTTAAAGAAAGAAAGAACGTTGAGAAATCGCGGCCTGGCGCAAGGATTGCGATGTAAAGAAAAAAAAAAAAAAAAAAACTAACAGACCCGTTTGTATATAGAGCGCGTTTTCATCGATTGTATCGTACGTAGAAGTCGATTTCTTCTACTCTGAGCCAAAGAATATCTCGCCTCATCCCCAAAAGGGTGGACGTCGTCTCGGCGCGCGTCGTCTCGATTAGACTAAGAATCTTTGTAAAGTTTTTTTGTATAAAGTATCGGTCCAGAACTGTGTATAAAGTGTCGCTAGCGCAATACAAGTAATTAACAATTTTCACACGTCTCATTTTTTTCTCACCCTCTGCTGATAAACCAACAATCTCTCTTGACTCTTCTGTTCGCAGAATCTTTGGAAAAAAATTTTATTCTTTGTTTAAACATCGGGGGAGAAAAATCACAAGTGTCAAACCAAAGCACGAGTCAAAATATCTCTGACGTCGTTTTAAAATTTCCAAAAGAGGAAGTATATAAATATAGCGCGCGAGAACTTGACAAGTTCAACTTGTCTAGCTTTACCTTTTTTTTTTTCCTCAGCTGGCCCATTAGAAGACGACGTAGAATCCATTGTACGGAGCGGTTTCGGTCTCGGATTTCGTGGATACTCTGGCGCCAGTGCTTGATTCTGTGTAGCGCGCGCCTATAATACTTACATGCAGCCAATATATAACATATATGTATATATATCCCGAGAAGATTAACTTCTATCTGTCCCTACACGCACCGAGTATCGTGTCGAGTCTGTTTAATCAACATCCGACTCATTCGTCTTGCTAATCTTCGAGTTTGTTATTGCGTCGCGAGAGATTGTTGTGCCGATGTTAAATTTGACAAAACCGAGACATCGAACAAAATTGTTTCGCGATCTTTTTCCAAGTTCGTAGTTTAAAACTCGATTGTTATCTGATGTTGCAATTTGCGTCTCGTCGAAACTTTGTTCGTTCGATTGAATCTCTTGATTGAATCGTCGCTTTCCACTGGCGGCAATTAATATTTCGCTCTTGCCACCAGGAACTGCGAGACTAAATATTTGCGATCCGGCTGGTTTCGAAGTGGCGTCTCATCAATGTCGCGACAACGTCGACGACGACGACGACGACGACATTGTTGCGTTTGTGTATTGTACGCAGAGTGATCGCGAAGGATCCCCGGGGGATCGATATTACCCGAGGCGATTGACGAGCCGTTTGTTTATCGCAACGAGTGGCACTATATTACGACGCGGGCGTACGTGCGCGCACACATACACACATACACACACACACACACACACACACATCCGTGACTCTGAGAATGTTAATAGTCGCGCGCGTCGCTGTTGCCGCGGCCGTAAACATTTCAGACGGGATTCCTATACGACGGGCTTATACGGGACCTCGTATTTCGTTGCTCCGAGGCCCCGCAATTCTTTCGTCCACGTTCGTCCATTAAATCATGGATCGCCCATCTGAACGTCGCCAAGACAAACGATCATCGGATGACGCCTACGCGCCAACTTACGCGCTGTCAATCAACCTGCATCTCGCGCTCGAATGATCACTTCAATCACGGGAGGGGGCGAAGAATAAGAAATTTGTCTTTGCGTCACGCGATTACAAAGCGTAAGTAATCGGAATCTCGTCCGATTGTTGATATCTCTCGCATCGGGGTTTAATTTTTACAAATTCATTCAATTTTGATAAATCTCGCGTGTTAAATTTCAACACCGAAATATAATTCAAGTCACCCGCCGAACAGATCGAAATGTTCAACGGAATTCAAACAATTAAAAACAAATCTGATTGAAGCGAGACGCTGCTTTATATACTGAGTTACGTTTCGATCCAATTTAATGAAATTAAAGCGAGAAGACTCGAGAAGACGAAAGAATTGAAAATCGTTTGTCACACAAGAAGGGGGGGTAGGTAAGTATCTCAAGTATCTCGCAAACACGTTCGGCGCGCAAAAATTGCAATCTTGCTTTCTTTTTTCTGGCGCCTCGTCGACGTTCCGTGTCTTCAGAGAGAGAGAGAGAATTCTGATCTCTCTCTCTGCACACACACAGATAACAATTCTCTGCAAGTACGCTCCATTTCGCAGCGGGGAATTGTGTGTGTTCTCGCGTGTGTTGCCACACCAAATTAAATCGAACGCGTAGGGGAACGCACAAATCTATTATTATATATTTATTCGGACTCTCGATGTATCTCGAGAATTCTGAGATCTTTACAAACGATCTCGTTATTCGAGTACAAATAATTACAATCGCGCGAGGATGTGCCGCAACATTTCCGTTTAAATCCAATCTTCCCGTCCGAATAAAACGAGAGTCTCTAATTGAGATTTTTAAAAAACAGTCACCTGAACATGAATCTCGCCGATCAACGCGTGACGCTATACTTTCTCTTCTCTCGTCGCGACGCGACTTCTCTCGTCGTGGCGCGCGACTTCTCTCGTCGGCTGCTCGTTTTCACGTGTGCAACGCGAACAACGTGGCGCGTCTCCTGGCCTACCGAGAATAGCCAAGTTCTCTTGGCGGGTACCGCGCGAGTGTTTATATCAGCTTGGGGAGGTGTTCTGGGCTTCGTCAGTGCAAGAGAGTTTACAAAGCGCGATGCCGAGATCCGCGCGCACCTTCCCCGCCCTCTTTCGCACCTATTCGTCGGTCGGCGTGTAGAGCGCGTGCCTGCGCGCGTGTGAGACTTTTGATTTTCCTATTCGCGCGCGATCATCCATTTCGAACGAAGAAATCTGAAAACAAACCAAAATACGAACGTAAGAACTTGTATGCGAAATCGCGATACTTGATTTGAAATCGAACGCGCCAGATGTGTGCGCGCCAATAACCCCGACACAAATTCGTCACAAAGATTTATCTCATTTCTAGAGAAAGTCCCGCGACCGCCTTATCGTCCCCCTGCGATCATCCGCACCGCAATCTGTCCGAAACCCATTTTGTGAAAATAATTCACGATTAACTTCTCTCAAAGATCCCCCGCAGCGATAGCTTTTTGCGTTTATCTCCTTTGTTTACGTTTCAATCAATTATCTTTTAATTCGATTGGATATTTCAACCACGTCGAGAGGATTTTTCGCGACGACGCGCGTCGTCGTCGAGGAATCGTCGTGTCGTCAGACGTGGGAAGATTTTTGATGTGACGCGCATTCGGCGCGGATGCAAGTGCTTCTCTTAACATCGGCGTTCCACCCCGAATACAAATCGTTATATATGGAAAAAAAAGCATGAACCGAGCGTTTGTTTGCTTTGACAAGTATTAAAAGTACGACGTGCGCGCACGTATAGAGAGCGAGCGCGACTTCGCCCACTTAGATCTCACTGAAAAAACCACGACGTCCATGTGCGGAGAGAGCCATCGTCTCCCTCCTCCCGCCCTAATTGCACGTCTCGAGACCGTGTTTCACTGTGCGCACGTACACGTGATACATGTGTGCGTGCGAAGCAAAAAAAAAAAAAAAAGAAAAATACAGAAGCGGGAACATACAACCGCATTGTTTCGTATGTTTGTTTTTGTTTTCTAGAACAAACGATGTACATAGTCTTGATAGAGAAATTATACATAAATTTTGTGTAATATGTAGAGAGTGTGTGTGTGTCTTAGGTCACACACACATACACATGCAATATACGCAGATCGAAACCGGACGAGATAAAGTGTTTCGTATTTCTGAGAATTTTTTTATTCAAGCGTGTATTTTCAATGTTGAATAAAAAAAAAAAAAACTAATAATCGAATGCGGAGTTCGACATTACATTGCGGAAAGCGCGACAAGATATTGTACAATAATGTCGGGTTCGCGCGATCAAATCGACGCTTTTATACGGAACGTACGTTCGAGGAAGGAATCTCGCGCGGACTCTCACTGATCCTCCGAATTAAGTCGACGATCGACAAGTTAAATCCAAGGACTAATCGTTCGTTCAGTCAGACACCAGGCGGCCCCGATTTGTCGCGCCGCGTGGGGTATGAAAAATACGCGAGAAAAAAAAAAAAACAGGATTTGTTATAAAATAATATCGCGCGTTGTTAATTCACCGAAATATGAAGCGAAGATCCGATTGCTCGCGCACCGCTCGATCGATCTTCCATTCGCCCCGAGCAAACACATGTACAACAAATTTTCTTTTTTCTGAAATTTATAAAGCGCGTGTAACGTATATTCTACTTCTCTGATTATTTTATAGTTTAAACACATGCGTGTACAAGTATTAAAAAATAGGTTTTAAGAATTATGTGCTAATTAAAAAAGTGTAAGAGAATCGTAAATTATTTATTTGCGTTTTTTTTTATTTTTGCGCAAAGAAATCCGATTTGTTCATTGACGGCGAGGAAATTAATGAAAACCGCCGACGTTTATATCCCAAAGATAGAAACCCCGTATACGTGGGTGTTATTCCAGGACCTTTGAAACCCTGGATCCGCGAGTCTCTCTCTTTCTCTCTCTCTCTCTCATTGCGTATGTAGGACAGTCGGTCTCGCCTCAAATAAAGACAAATTGTTTTCTGTACGGAGCGATTGAGATTGTCCCCGCTGGTGCGGAAAAAAGGCGAGAACAACGAGAGTGAGAGAGCAAAAAAAAAATCACTAACCGTCGCTCTGCAACGGCGCAATTCCGCGTCATCCCTATAAAACCTCGGGACGAGCACCACCGTGTCGACATTGTTCGGTCAGAAGATCTCGAAGAAACAACGCCGTCGTCACCGAGAAGATGATCGTCGTCACCGACAATCTTGCAAACCGCGCAACCACCTTCTGCGTCCTTACGCTGCTGCTCTGCTTGGCGTCTCAAGCTTCCGGCGAATACGGTAATAAATAAATCCTCGATATAAAAAAAAATAAGTTTTCGACAAGCGAGCGCAAACAAGGTCGATTAAAAATTTGTTTGCACGTTGTTCGAGTCACAATTTTCTTTTTCTTTTATATTAAATAAGTTTGTTTCTTCTATTAAATTTTCTTTCAAAGTCATCGTGGACAAAGTTGTCTCTCGTTGCGCGTGGGATCGTTTCAATTTTTTTGTCTGCTCATCAAAAACTTAATTCAAAACTCGTTTTTCGATCTCTTCGCAGAATCGAGGGAAAACGACGGCAGATCGCCGGAAAACAACTTGGTCTCGTGTGAGGGTAAATGCGAAAAGCGCACCGAGGTCGGCGGCATGTGGTTCGGTCCGCGTCTCGGAAGACGACGCAGATCCGATCCGAAACAGGAAACGAGCTCGGACATCATGGCCCTGGCGAACGTTCTTAAGGACACGCGCATGGCCGTCGTCATGATTCCGGGTAAGGAAGAGACTCCCGGGTGTTCTCGAAGCGACTCGCGCGTTTCGAAAATCGGTAAACTTCAAGATCCAATGTCACGTTTCTTTCTTTCTCGCTGTTGCAAATTTTATCGAGAAATATAACCGACGATTTTCAGATACCCCCGAGAAGAGACGGAAGAACTTCCATCCCACACCGCGAACGGGACGAGAATTGAACGAGGATCTGTTCTCGTACGAAGACGCAGCGATAGACGAACGGAACGAGATTATCGAGGACGAGCCGCCGACCTTCTCACCGCGTCTGGGACGTCGACTACCCTGGACACCGTCGCCGCGACTCGGTCGTCAATTGTACAACGCATTCCGAAAGATGTAGAGAACCTTATCTTCCCTCCTTACCCCCAATGTGACGAAGAAACAACACCCGCGAAGAGAACGTCGAGAGTTTGCAAACAATATAAAAAAGTTTTACGCGACTGTTGAAATATATAAAATAAATACAACGACGAAGCGCGCGACAACTGCGACCATTGTGCCGACAACCCCATGAAATACTACCAGCATTTATTTGTAAACTGTGGCCGTTGTCGCCACGAATTATGATTACAGAATTTTCTCAAAGTTTCGCTAATAAATCACAATATCAATACATTTGAAAAATAATTTTTTTTTTTTTTTAAATTGAACCTACTCAAAAACAAAAAATATTTTAAAGAAGATCCTCCAGAGAAAACTAATTGTGACGTTTCGAAGTTGCTTTTCTGTGTCGCGCGAATCAACATTTTCCACGAGAACAACTTGCTCTTTGATGCTCTATTGTAATCGATTTGTGTAAATAAAATCTTTCTTTTCAACGCCGCGAGCGCTTTTTCATCAAAGCGTACAAGAATATATTGCTTGTCTCAAAATCGAATTTGCAACGTGAAATTCAATCGACGTCTCACAGTCTCTAGAAATGAGATAATTTTCACTGCGTTAAGATACGAGGATGATAGACGCTATTTTCGGCGTCCCGAGAAGGGTTGAGAGATATATCTCTCTCTTTGGAGAGGAAGAAGAGAGAGGGAGAGGAACAGGATGCCGAATTACATACAGCGAGTATGTAATTCCTCGACCGGAACTACCGGCGAGCCATGTGGTAACATAGACGGCCGGGTCGTAATCGTAAAACTCGAAAACAGCGGCGGTAGATATGCGTTAAGCTCTTCTACTACTATTACTACTACTACTACTATCACCAGTTTCGTCGCTTCAAAACGCGTCGTGCATCGAAGATCGCTCGTAAAACGCGACCGAAAAAAAAAATGCTCTCAATGAGCGCTTTAGAGGATATTAAATGATGATCGACACATCAGATCGGACGACTTTTTTTCTTCGACCGCTCCGTCGATTATTTTCACGCGGATCTTCCCGCGACAAATCGCGCGTTTCCAGATGCGAGAGAAGAAAATATTACGGAGAATATAAATTGTTTGCAAAACAATCCCGGATCTCTCTGGAATAACCTCCGACTTTTCGAAATAGAAATTCTCGACACGGTGGTAAAATTTATGGATTTAATAGGGTAAAACACACACGTGTGTTGCTCGCGCACCACAACGAAGTAAAATTCGAAGAAGTAGCTTTGACGGTCGCGTCATACACGTTTGAACTAAATCATCGCACATAAATAAACCGTTATTCACGTTGTAGGGAATTACGAGGTGCGTGTGTGGAATCGGAGATCGAAATAATGGAAACAAGTAAAATTTTCCGTCACAAAACTCACACAAGAATCACATTTGTTATATACATTTTCAAAATACATAAATTGTAAAAATATATATACCTTTTTGTTTTTATATCAACCGTATATTCCTTTTCCATTTTGCACGCAGGTACCGCAAGTAGTAGTAGTTAATTGTATTTTAATATATAAAACAGAAATGTATTTGTATATTCGATATATTATGCTCCCTTGCGAGTTTTGACGTCAGGCGCTAAAAAAGATTCTTTTGTTAACCCTGAATCCTCTCCTGCAGCAGCTTCTCGAGTTTTCGCACGTCCACGGCGAACTTGCGAATGCCCTCGCTCAGCTTCTCGGTCGCCATCTGGTCCTCGTTCAGAAGCCACCTGAACTCGGCCTCGTTCAAACTGATCTTCTGAAGATCGCTCTTCTTCGCCGACTCCACGCTCAGAACCTTGTGAACGGGCTCGTTGCTCTTTTCCAATTCCTCCAATAATTTAGGACTTATAGTGAGCAAATCGCAGCCAGCGAGTTCCTTGATTTCATCTGTTTGTTAATTAAGTAGAAATATTCACATTAATTACGTATAATTTTATACAAATTAAATAAAATCTAAATTAGAGGTAAACTTTTTTAGACACTTGCCGACATTCCTGAACGAAGCACCCATCACGACCGTTTTATAACCAAACTTTTTGTAATAATTGTAAATTTTTGTAACGGAAACAACACCCGGATCTTCTTTCCCTTCGTAAGACTTTTTGTCCGTGTTCGCTACGTACCTGAGCAAGATTTTCTATTCTTATATACAGTTTTTTTTTTTTTTTTTTTTTTTTAAATTTTTTTTTTTTTTTTTTTTTTTATAAATTTTGTAAGTGAATTTTTTTAAAACGCTCACCAATCGAGGATTCTGCCGACGAACGGCGAAATGAGAGTGACTCCGGCCTCCGCGCAAGCGACAGCCTGCGTGAAGGAGAACAGCAACGTCAGATTGCAGTGAATTCCATATTTCTCTTCCAACTCCCTGAAAAAAAAAAAAAAAAAACCGATAGGTGGTCGTTTTAGAACGATCGGTGCACGTTTGTTGATCGAAAATGTACATCTCGATCTTGCTTCCGGCTTACTTTGCCGCTTGAATGCCCTCCCACGTTGACGCGAGCTTGATCAGGACGCGTTCCTTGCTCACTCCGAGCCCCTCGTACAGAGCAATCAGTCTCTTCGCCTTTTCGATGCTGGCTTCTTTGTTGAAGGACAATCTGGCGTCTATCTCGGTGGAAACTCTTCCGGGAATTACATTCAAGATTTCCTTTCCGAACACAACACAACAGATGTCGTAGGCCTCCGAAACTTGCTCGGCCAAAGTACTAAAAAGCAATTGTTACGTTAATTAACACACACAATTAATTTAATTATTTTAATATTAAAATAAATTAAATTGAACAAATCAACAATTACTATATTTGAATACTTACGAGGCAGCCTTCTTGCCGATCTCGGCAGCTTTTCCAATCAGTTGAGAATATTTCTTTTGATTCGCCGCAGCCAGAATCAATGACGGATTCGTTGTCGCATCCGTCGGGTTAAACTGTTCCATAGCTGCAATATGTGCGAAATATTACATTGTTAATGTGAATCGACAGTCTGTTATTCACAGTATTTACAATTGCTTTTATTCATAGCAACTCGATGCAGCCATCTTGAATTCTAATGATGTAATTCGAAATGTCTGCGGCGACTACTACCGGAAAAATTTGATTTTTTAATTATTATTATTATTTATTTAAGATACACAAAATTTAAATTGCATAAACTTTGTCGGAAGGACTTGGTTAGGTGGCGTGCGTGAGCACATACATGGTTGTGAGAACGTGCGATATAATAGAGATTTAGCTAGACAAAGAGAATAGGAAAGTTAATGAAAGTAGTAGAAATAGACGTGGAAGTCAAAGAAATAGGAGGAGAAATGAAGGCAAGGTGATCGGATAGAAGAGGGAAGAGAAAACAGGAAGGAAAGGAAGGCGGGAGATAAGAGGTTATGGCGGCAAAAGGTGCGGAGGCAGGAAAGAATTCCCGATAGGAGGAAAGGAGACGAGTAAATATGGGAAATCAGGATAAGGATATTGGAAGAAAGGATGGAAGAAGTAGGTAAAGTAGCCAAAGAAATGAAGGAAAGAGAAGAAGAGAGAGAGGGATACTGGCTATCGGAGANAGAGGAAAGGTGCGGGAAAAACGTAGCAAGAGCAGCGAGTGCAGTAGGCAGAAGTACGAACAGTTACGTAGGTTCTGCGTCGGAAAGAAGCGTGGATAGGATAGGTTAAGCGTAAGGGAGATAAACAAAATAAAAAGTATTATTTCCGGCAAAGAAAAAGAGGAAAGAAGGAGAAAAGGAAATTGGAGACAATGGAGAGATATACAGAGAGAAATGGAGGCAGGAAAACGGAGAGAGGAAGAAGTCAAGAAGCTGGAGGATAAGGAGGTTAGAGAGGAGGAGAACTAGAAGGAGGACAAGAAGAGGAAACTAAGGAAAGAAATCAGAGGAAAGCAAAATCGAGGCACGCTATAAAGGCAAGAAGCAAAGGAAGAGCAAGGGGAGGTTTAAGGGCAGGAATAAAGAAAGAATGGAAAGAAAGCCGCTGGAAGATAGTAGAAACAGGTTAGGAAGAAGATATATTACATGTAAGGAAGGAGGACGAGGAAGGAAATCTAAGAATCAAGAAAGAAGACTCAGACCAGGAACGCATAAGGGAAGAAAATAATCTAAGTTGATGTAATATATGTAATATAGGTAATAGAGGATATAGGAAATAGGTTTACGAAGGAGGAATAGAAGAGGGAGTGCGTGCAAGACAAGATAGGGTAAATCAAAACAAACCAAAGCTGAGATACTTTGTATGTATGTATGTTGTATGTGGTAGAGTATATCGTCACTCCCTACGTATAATTACATAAGTGTCACATATGGGATTTTCAGTTTATTGCATAGTGACACTCAGAAAGTCATGTTCTTTGTGGTCACCAAGTATTAAAAAAAAATATTCATAAGTAAGGTAAAAATTTAAAACCGAAAGATCCCTTAACTAGGGAAACTGTATAAAGCTTCAAACTTTTAAACTGCTCTCCCCTAAAATTTGCGTTTTGGAGTTACGGGATTATACGTAGGGAGTGACGATATATTCTAAAGAGTAGGATAGAAAGGAGAAGGAGAGAAGAGTCTAGACAGAGCAGGAAGGGTAATAAAAATAACAGGTGTTCGCAAAAATGAGATATGTAATAGGATAAGATATATGTAAATAGTAAATTGTAAGAAAATTGTAAGAAATGTAACCAAGTCCCCTTCAAAGCCGGTAGGCAGGAAGGTATAATAAACTAACTAACTAACTAACTAAGCTTTGTCGGAAAAATAAATTCTACTGACTGTGCAACGATACATTCTACTCTTGAAGGTCACTATCTTTAGTAAAAACAAAAGGTCATGGGCTATTTGTCACTCGCTCAGATAAAATCGTTTTATCAATTTCAATGAATAAATCTTCGCGAAATCGCTCGACTTTTTTGACTATCTCGCGCGATCGCTTGCAAACGCGATTTGACGCAAACAAATCAATAAGAATTTTAAATTCAAAGAATATATTAAACTCTCGTAACGTTATCGCGCCGACGTTTTAAACTTTGTCAGGGAAAAAACTTCCAACTTCCCGATAACATGTTTGGTATATACTTTTGTGGTATATTTATCACGTTACCGTGAAAATTTGAAATCGAAAAAAATCCATTTGTGATTTTTCGAGCTACAAAGTTCAAATTTGAATTCTCAACAGATGCGCAAAAACGTGTCATTACGACTTTATTGTTCCTTTTGACGAAAATGAAAACTTTGATAAAAACTCGCGAGAATGGAAAACAATCGCGATTTCATAATCGGCCTATCGTTCGACGGATCACGTGTTCGTTCGAAAAAGTGCAAGCGATGCAAGGTTCCCGCCGCCCCGCCACGTCGCGCGCGCGCGCGCGCGACACGACGTTTGTCTGCGTCTTTATCTCTGACACCGGGGATTCGAAATTCGGCTTTACCTTCGAAGTCGCCGGTGTCGGCGACCACCGTGGTGAGGTCCTTCAGCTGGCTCAGGGAACTCATGATCTTCGTTTTCTTCGACTGTGACTCGCTCATGATCGCCGTGCGTATTTATGCGTACGGGAAGACAAAGACAGTTTCGCGTTCTCACTCACGCGAGCGCCCCGTAACGAACCGTGACGTTCGGGATCATGGGAAAAATCCGTTGGACGAGCGCTCCCACCGCTCGCATCCGACGATGCTTGCGCGCGCGGTCACGTGAGCGTCCCGCGGAAATTGGCGCGTAAATACGAAAAGCTTCGAGAACACAGTCCTTCGTAAAACGTTTATTAAAATCTACTTAGATTAAGTACACAATATATATTATATATATATATATATATATATATACGAGTGTGACAACTTACAACTGGCCTATTAATACGTCAAGAAGTTACCGTTGTGTAAAAATAAAATCAATGTCGCACTTCTCGATAATAAATAGATGGAATTGTGAGTGTGTGCGTCGCTTCGCTGTACTTATTTAATTTCTCTCTATGATTAATTTCTCTTCTTAACGCCTCTTATTTCTTGTCGTCAGTTTGATCTCATGTTCGCCCCCCTCCAAGAGACGATTCAAAACTTCGATCGCATCGAAGTTTCAAGATATTGAATTAAAATCTCGCGTAATTCTTTCTCGTGCAATTTAACAATTTTTTGTACGCTTTACAAATAGAAAACCTTACAACTGGGTTTTTAAAATAAGTTATTTCTTTCTTCAGGCAAATAACATTTATCTGACCTGCGTTTAAATGCAATATCTATCTCTCTCCTTTAATTACATCCGTTAACACTAACGTTTTTTTTTAATTAGTTCTAATTTTATATATGTATACTGAGCTCTTTCGCAAGTGACGTGTCGCCAACTTGAAGTGATCAACGGCTTTGAGGAAATCTTGTCGAGGAATCGACTATTACAATGGAGAAACGTATCCTGTATATTTTTGTTATCGCTACAGTAGGACCTGCTTAAGGACAACCGAGTTACCTTCGCTTGACTGCTCTACGGAGAACTACTTCCTCATTTCTTCGCGGAAGGAAGTCGTTCGTTCACTCTTCATTGTATTTTTTAGAAGACGAACCGAGTTCGTTCTTCGCTCTTCTGCAACGACCCGCGTTCGATTTTGTTGCCCTTAAGCGGATCCTACTGTATCAGACTTTCTCGGCGGACGTGTGTTTATCGTGGGACACGGTTTTCGGCTGATGACCGTACAGAAAGATCGAACAGATCACGAGGAACGCGCCCAGAACGAACTGGAACGACGGGTCGAAGCTGAACAGAGAGATAGAAGCCAAACAGGACACGATGATGGCCATGGACGTCGCGAAACCTTTGAGTATGTTATCGGCGAACTTGACCACCATGGCTACGATCAATCCGCCGCCTGCTTGCAGGAACACCAAGAAAACGATAAACGAATCGTAGCCGAAGAAGAAGCCCTGTTTTCTTATGGTCTCGCCGTCGTGCAGGAAACACGTGCCCAGACCGAACGGAATAGAGAGCAGACTCAGTTGAACGTTTCGCATCCACACGGAAACGTCGGATCCTTTCAGTATCTTCTCGAAGTAGACCCCCGCGAAACCAGACAGCAAGCAAGCGGTCAGAGCGGCGGAGAAACCCAGCCAGTGACTCTGCTGGATGCCGGAGGGTAACGGCGCCGTTGTGTTCTGCGCCAGTTGCACGAGGACCACTCCGATCACCAGAAGCACCAGAGCGCTCCACTGAGTGGTACGAAGAGACTTGCGCAATATCGCGACAGCGAAGAAGGCCGTGGTCAGGATTTTCAATTGATATGTAACCTGGAAAGATGTCGCGTCATACGCGTTTTACGATTTTATCGCGTGCGCTTTGACAATACCTGATGCGTGGCGGCGTCCAAGTTGGACGCCGAAACGTAGAGTAAATTATTCTGTATGATGTACAAAAGCGATGGCACACAGACTTTCAGTGTATCGATAGGCTGCTTCACGATTGTCGCGTGTAGTGCTTCGTAAAATTTTCTGAAACCTCCCTCTTCGTAATACACCGCCCCCAGGCAGATGAAAAGTTTGACCAATTCGGCCATCACGACGGCTGGAACAGGAGAGAAAATATTGTAAATATGGATATCTTTTTATCTAATTTTTTATCTAATATCCATGCAAACGCGTACCAGTGGAAGAAAGGAACATATCTCCCGCTCTGGTCCGCGAGTATCGCATGCTGAGACTGACCGCAGCATTTTGAGCCGTGAGAGTGACTAAGCTCGCATATTTCAGTAACTGTGCATTTTCTGTAATGTGAATTTTTTGAAACTGTCATCTGTAATTAAACAGAATAACACACGTAACTTATATGTATATTGTGATGTACTCACTTTGTATAGGCTTGTTCATGTTTGTGAGGTTTTATTCGAGTCTTCTTTTTTTCATAAGTCTTTACTACTTTCTTTTGTCAAATAAAGTCGCATATATTTTTTTTTATCACCTACATTTTTCCTAAAACTGTAAAACATACGTTACAATTTCCTAAAATATTTTGAAGTAATTTCAATTGTAATTGGGCAATAAGTGGAGTCGAAATAAAAAGTCGGAGGAATAAACAAAAGAAAAATCTACACAAAGCTAAGTGTTTAGTTTTTTTTTTTTTTAAATAAAAGTTAGAGAAAGGCACACAATGTGTGGGAGCAAAAGCAAGATCGTGACCAAGTAACAGTTCACAATATTATTTGCACAGACACACACGCGCAAGGTTAATTCCAATAATACATGATAAGATACCGGTGAGAAAGTAAAAGTCAGAAAAAAAGATTGACACAATTTTTTAATTGCACATGCTTATTTATATACAACAGAGTCACACATTGACAATCCGTCACGGCACGTCGTCTCGGACAATTTTACGGATAAATAAATTAGATAAATTAAAGTTTTCGCGAATATCTGGCGGAGAAACGTTAAAAGACGCGATGCGTTGAATAAAACCAACCAGCTTAGTGCGAAACAACGCTTTTTCTTCAGAAAAATTCTTTTTACCGAAACTCGCGTGCATAACGCACTGTACACGTTGACGTGGTACACGTTGACATTTCTCTACTCACAAAGAATGCCTAGTTATTTTCCCGTCGATGTCGTTGTCAATTGGCCTTGACGTTACTTTCCATATGCGATCTAATTAAATATTAAACGAAGAAACACACGGGCCGCCCACGCGTATAATTTAATCTAACGACAACCGATTACGACGCGCTCATGTTCAAACAACACGAATCGAGCCGAGTGATAAGGGATAACAACAATCGCCGGACGGAGTTAAATTCGACTTCGAATTGTTGGATTCAGGAGAATTGACAAATCGCATTCGAGCCGGGAACGCGCGAGAGAAGCAGAGACTATCCATCTTGCGATCGTTCGGCGACCATTTCCAATGCTCGTTCGTAATTGGTCACATCGAGATGTTCCCGGTTTTCTTTGCCTCGAAAATGTCGTGAAAACAGCCCGAAACACACACACACAGTCGCGTGTTTAAAGCGCGACTTCTTCTTCTTCTTTGCTGTAATGGCTCTTGCCCCGGTGAGGAAGGAGCATACGCCAGTCTTCGATTTACTATTATTACTAGTATGTACTTGTTTAGACTAGAGACTACGATGATAATATTGAAAGTGGTGTAAAAACACCTAATATTGTCCAAAAATATTCACAGTAGAACTACGCGCATCCAACCAACATGGCTGATGCAACGCGACTTTTTAAAGCGCGACAAGTCTATGGTCACGAAGTGCAGCGTGAGCTGAGAAGGGAAATCAGCTGTCAATTTACTCGCCAACTTCTTCGTCGTCAACTTTGCCGTGATATTTCGCTCGTGCGGATAGTGAAAACAATTATCGCGAACATGTCTATGGTAATATATAATATATACATACATATATATGTAATATCTTTCGAATATAAGTGTAACAATATTAGGATAGCGTTGAGTTTTGAAATGACCGAAATGCGTAATTTAGGCAGGTTTCAATTTTCTAACCTCTGCGGTTTGTTATTGACGCGATTGACAAACGTGTTGATTATTGTTTACTCTCGTACGATTACATAATAAAACGACCGATAATTTTTAATTTTTTGTAATATCGGGACGAATGTTTTTTTTGCAGCGACCAGACGATCACAGAAGAAAGTGGAATCGGGAAGAGTACGAGAGGATCGCGCTTCAGAGACTGCAGGATGAGATCGCGGAAGAGGAACTGGGACTTCCCAAACAGCCGGCAGTTAAGAGGGAATTGCTGAAGCAGAGAGACTACAAAGTAGATCTCGAATCTAAACTGGGAAAGAGTGTCGTAATCAATAAGAACACACCTTCCTCGCAAACTGGAGGGTACGATCAATCATCTGGATAAGACACAATAGTTTAAAATATTATTATAATATAATTCTACTCTCTTTGGAAACACATTACTGTGTTATTTATATTTATCTGTTTGTAGATACTACTGCAATGTGTGCGACTGTGTCGTAAAAGATTCTATTAATTTCTTAGACCACATTAATGGAACCAAACGTAAGTGTAACAACATTGCCAAAGTTAAAGTATATTTTTCTCTTTCCTACTTTCAAATGTTTCTATTTACACAATCATTTGACTCATCATCGATACAGATCAACGTAATCTTGGCATGTCCATGAAGATAGAAAGATCCACATTAGATCAAGTTAAGGCTAGGTTTGCACAAAACAAGAAGAAACTCGAGGAGAAGAAGAAAGATTACGATCTGGAGCAGAGAGTGAAGGAGTTGAAGGAAGAGGTTTGTCTTTTTTTTTTTTTGTTACCGAAACTGCACTTGGACAATTTATTTGATTTACTGTTTTTTTTTTATCGAGATTACTTGCTTATTCCGCACAGGAAGAAAAGATTAAGGAGTACAGGAAGGAGAAGCGGAAAGACAAGAAGAGGAAGATCGAAGAGATATCGGAGGAGGACGCGGGACCCTCGGACGAAATGGCCGCTATCATGGGATTCTCCGGTTTCGGTTCGAAAAAAAAGTGACAAACTGACGAACGTTCGTGAATTCGCATCTCACTGCTACTTGAAACGGTGTTCTTCCTTGAGAAATATTGTGGTCAATTTGTGAAGAAGAAGTTGGAAAACCATGTAAATGACACGTAGTTTTAATTCCCGTATCTTCGGAATTTTAAGGAAGCGTGCGTTGTTTGTGTCTTTTTCATTTTTCCACCGTTGTGTTTCGAGTGTTTCATATTTATTCGAGACGAGAGAGTAAGAACGAATGCTATTTTTTTACAAATATCCGACCAAATATCCACGAAACGCGAGCTTTGTACACAGTATAATATATAACTTGAGACTCAATCAAAGTTTAATTAAAGAATCATTTGTGCACAAAATAAACCGAGTGTGTATATAAGGAATTTTATTCTCGAAATTATTTGTGATGACGTCACAGGAGAATTGTGTAAATACGTTGCGGATATATGAGAATAAAATTTACTAATTCATTTAATTTCTCGTTTCAAATTCCCGATTCGTCGTCGATATTTTTGTTCGTTTGAAAGCGTCGATCGATAGCTCAAAGCTTCGACATCTTTGCCCCTCGCGCGTGGCTTGTCAAACGTAATACAAACCATCTTGCACTTCATACGCACAAGTAAAGCATCCAATGATTGGCATTTTGAGCTCAACGACTGAAACTTTGAGAAGACCTGTCCAACTTTTTCTCAAACGTACCAACTAAAAGTCCAAAATAGTATTGCCACATAAAAAATCCAAAATAATCCTACCGTAATGTTAAATAAAAAAATAACTCGACGAGAATGTTAACAATTGGAAAAAGTCAACGAGTGTCAATTATTGATGCTAATCGTAGACTTGGTTACTATCTGTATAAAATTAAACTTCTCTATGTTAAACAAAACTATAAAACTTAGGTGCTTATTTCTCGGTACCGCTAAGTCAAGGCCGTGAAGTTACATCGTGAGACTACGTCAACAAACGAAGTTATATCAACAAAGTAAAATACTCGTCTTAGTCATCATCCATCCTCGCAGGTAGCGTGGCAAGTTCGACCGCAAACCTGGTCGCAGGTTTCGAGTACTGCGAAGAAGAAGAAAACTCGCGGATTTCTTTTCTTTCACTCTCGCGCGCGCGCACGCAAGTCTCTTCTTTTTCTCTCTCTCTCTCTCTCTCTTAGGGAAGATCTGTAAACGAGGGGAAAGGAGCCGCGCGTGCGAGATATTTTTCTCTAGTAGTTCTCCCACCTTCTCCGCGAAGGATCAAGAAGGACCACCTCCTGTACGGGGCCCGCGCTCCGGGGGCCAGACGCCCGGGGCCGGAGCGGCGACGTACACACGCAGTGCCACGACGTAGCTTCTCGCGGCATAAGATCCAGCTAGCTAGAAGCAAACCGGCCGTTATTCGAAAGTCCGCGGAAGCCACGCGTGTCAGTTGCTCGCACGTGACGTTACGCGACGCGAGCGCGAGCCGCCGTCGCCGCCGTCGCACGTGTCACAACACGGGTCCGCACATCTCTCTGAAACTGCGGAAAGGACGAAAACCGAATGTGGGAAAATTTTATTTTTCAAAACTACAGAACGGAAGAGTGTCGCGTCGAATTTAACGAGCAGAATATTCAGGTTGAAAACGCGCGAGGAAGTTTGTTTTAGTGTAGATTATTTCGGGGAGGTGAGATTGCTGAACACAAATAGCACCTTACGCGTGCAGAAGACAAAGTACTGGATAAATTGTTGTCGCATCGAAGACAAACGCGAGAAGAGTCGAACTAATATTCGAGATGCGCGAGAAACAAAAGATTTACTGTTGTTAAAAAAAAAAAAAAAAAAACTGGAGAGAATAGAAATCTCGAAAAGGAATCAGAACTGAACGTTTCATTGAAGACACTTTCGTTTCGAGAGAGTTGCGGTTCAAAGAAAAAACTTCGGAAAAATTCGCACGAGAGAAAGAATGAAAAAGTATTCAACAACCCGTGACATAAATCTTTTCGCTAAAAATTATCGAGCGACAATATTATTGTCAACTATTATTGTTGTATAAAAAAATTCTTTAGATTTCTTGGTCAAATTGTGAGAGATGTCGTCGTTGTTCGACTAATTAATTTGCGGACGAATCTTTGCTGAGAATACTCACGCGAGAAAAAAAAGCTAATTTTATTCTCGAGACATTCGGATTGGAATATTATTTCAGCGAATTATAAAAGTTTCTTAATTACATCATCAGTTTTTTTTTTGTCATCGGTTCGATCGGTCAGTCTCGGGGAACGAAACATCGACACGCGCAATTCGCGCATCGTTCGTGTCGTTCGCTCATCTCATTTATCAATTAAAAAGTGCCGATCGATGTGCGAAAGATGGCAATCACGACGAGTCCATCGAACCTGACACGGAACTCGGCCGACTGATGGACACCGGCGGCGATTTTACGAGCATCTCGATTCACGGTTGGTCAACACCGTAATCCGACATTCGTTTCAAGCCCGAAGAGAGACGTCGTTTTCCGACGAGAGAAACATTACCATGTCCCGAACTCTGCAACCGATTGAGGAATCCAATCCCGGCAAGTCATCGAGTAAGATTCATTATCTTTCAATACAATGATTTTTCAAGCACTTCGTTAGAAGTGTCATTCATCAATATCCACTAAAGAAAGAGCCCGAATAATTCACCGTTATGTCCACATCTGTTTCTGAAGCGCGTGCAATTATCTCAGACAATTATTAAATTAGGAAATATTCATTGAAAAAAAAAAAAAAAAAAATATTCAAGACATTTGTCTCTTTCGCAATTCTAGAAGAAAAATTAAAGTCATACAAATCAAATAAACCGTCATAAAATACGATATAATATGCAAACAAAATTCACACTGAAATTATATATCTTCGGTATCCACTTGAGATAAACATCTTAGTGACCAGACAAGTATCGGACATTTATTGAAGAATGAATTAAATAACAAAGTATATGTGATATATGATATAAAAAGATAGAAACTATAACTGTTAAAAATACATCTTAAAAAATACTTAAGATATCGAGAATTGTTGCGATTAATATTTTACATCTGATAATTTATTTTTTTTTAATAACTGTCGGACCATTAAAACCTTTATAGAATGTCGTAATACTTCTCTTCTGACAGTTTTGTTTTAATATGTATATTTTTGTTAAGACGCGTAAAATATGCGCAAAATTTTGCGAAATAAACTGCGCTTTGTTTTTTTGCTCTGAAACAACAAGAGCCGCTTTCCCTTTTCTTTTCCACGGAAGTGAAAAGGATCGGACACGCACTGTGTTGTTATCCGCTATACGGAGTCTGCTCACGGCTCTTGTTTTAAACTCTTGTTTTCGAAACAGCCCCGCGATCGCTCGTGCGTGATTGAACGGATCGCTCAGGCCTAAGCGGATCCGACGAAACGATATATACTCGCGAAACGATTTCGCGAGGAAATTTCCGCTTCACGATTCGATGAGGAATCTCGCGCGCGAACACACGTCGCGGAACGCGGAGATTGAAACTCGCACTCGTCTCGATAGACGCGCGACGATCATCAAACAACCCGTGAAGCTGTAATTGAAATCTTATCTTGTCTTACTTGAATTTTGAACGATTGAAACAAAACTAAATATTGTTCGCACGTTTCTGACAGACGAGAAGAGTTTGTTAAGAAAATTAATATTGTTGCATAATGAGAGATGCGTTAATTTATTATTAATGTGATGCTTGTTGATTATTTATTCCGTGCTTGTATTAAACGCAAGAATTAAAGTTTTCTCAAAACGAAAATATAAGCGGAAATGTAATTTTACATTTCGTAGATTGACGAATTGCACTTAACATTGTGCGTCGCGTGGCGCAAGCGCATCGCAACAACAATAACAATTAAATCGAGCGATATTCCGAGAAACTGCACCTCATTATACGCGGGAATTAATTATTCAATCTTTTCTCAGCAAAATATAACACTCGCCACTCGGCATTTACTAGTTACGCGAATTGATGCGATCTACTTTCACAATTAACGCCGGCTGAATACGCATGTATACACGTGTGTGTATGTGTACGTTACCAGATAATGTATTGCCGCTATAACAGGTGGAACGTGAAAACTAACGGCTGTCGTTTAAGATCGGTTAAACGAGCGATCTATTTGCGTCAATCATACGATACGTCGCTGCGTAATCAAAACGTTCTAATTTCCTAATAACAGAACTTTCTACGCGCCAGTTGCAAAAACAACAACACATTGTTGATCGGTCGTCCTTTGTTCGGTTCAAAAACAAGAGACAATAAATATAAAAGCAAAGAAATGAAACTTGTCGTCTGTAAAAATTACTCAAAAAAAATTAAACGAAAGGGGAAATAACGTGAAATAAAAAATTCTCACTTTATAAAAAACAAAAAGACAATAACGAAATAGAAAAGTATCTAATAAAATAAAAGATATTTACGGAACACAAATCGGCGTCTTGTGCAACGAATGGATGATCTCTCCGAGGGATTATAGCGCAACACCTCGGAAGGATTAAACCAAGCGTATACACGTAGACGTCTCACTTTATCCGCTTAATGCGGGTATCTCGCATTGCGTAATTATAATCTGAAAAGACGCGCGCGCAATTACACGGCTGTTGTGCCAGAAATATGAGGAGTTGAGATGATACCCTATCTGTTTCAAAATGAGCATCTCTTTCCTCGCGAACGATAATTTGTATGGGAAAGGTTCAGCCGTTTGAACCTCACAGAGTTAAAACGCCTGCGCGACCGAAGTTAATCGGAAACTATTTTACGTAAAACGACGCCGCGATATAAACTCAGCGACGTCCAAGATTCTTCGGACATCTTCTACATTTTTTCGTCATTTTCTAACGGACAATAGAATATGTCGTTTAAGATTCGATTTAAAACTCGTTGAGATTTTTCGTGAGAGAATTCGAAGTTCGAAAACGTTACACGTTTAATCTGAACAGATGTCAACAACTAAGATTTCTTTCGAAAATCCGACCACGTTGGGTTACAATTAGATTCGAGAAAAATTTCTCTGCGCGTAAGGTTTCGTAAAAAAAATTGACTTTCCCAAGCACTTAGATGTTTTCTCTATTTTTCACAAAAAATAAATTTCAATTACGCGTAAATTCAGTTGAAAAATGTGTCGCACCAAAGCGAATGTCCCAATAACGAGCGCGCGAGTACCACTGGCCGGACATGAGAACAGTTAGTTTTGACGCGCGAGTGTGTTTATTATTCCGCGAAAAGATAATTACAAATTCCGTTACGAGGAGAAGAAAGTCAAGGAGATGTTGCGCAGGGCGTCCTGGAGTTTCTTCTGGATCCTGTTTTGCTCGTTTACGTAGTGCATCCATTGGACTGAAAGAGGTGAAGAGGAACTTAGCAAGTGATTCGTGTTCCTCTTCATCAGTTCCACGGTTTGCACGAAGATGTAGAATTCTTCCAGTTCGTCGTTCTCCGCATCGTATTCTACCGCGACCATGTTGGAGTTGTAGCCACCTTCGACGATGCTCACGCGGCCCTTCAGGTGGACGGACGCGAGGATCACGCAGGTGATTATCTTGTAATCCCAAACAATCTTAATTCTCTTAGTGCGTATCACCCAATCGTACTCGCGATAGCTGTCCAGCTGGAGGAACTGCGACGCCACATGCTCGTCGGTGAGCACGTTCCCTTGCATCAGCCACGTCTGATTTTTCCTACGGAAAAAAAAAAAGAAGAAAGTTCTCTGCGCAGATCCTACGAAAAGATCGTAGCGGACGGATCTTTCGAATCTTTCGACCGAGTTTCGCAAGTCTTGCTTCGCGAAGCGAGAAACACTTCCTCGTGAGTCTTCCTCCCCGTTGAGACGAGAATTTTGCGTCATCCAGATTTCTTTAGCGCAGCCGTGAAATCGCGAGTAGATCGGATTATTGTATATATATATATATACAAGTGTTTCGCAAACGCGGGAAGTGTTTAATCAGATCGACTGGCGTTTTGAAAAACGGAAATTAAATCAACGAGAGGACGCGAGATATCGCGTAGCTTTGTAACGCCTTTCGATATATATTTTTTTATACCATTTTATATTTAATTTCTTATTAATTATCTAATATATTTGATAATTTGTCTAATTTCTTTTCCACTCCTAGTGGCATAGAGTGGTCAAATTTCCGCCCGGACTCGCTTCTGACGAAACTTCTCTCTCGGTCGCAGTAAATCATCGTCGTGTACTCACGGCTCGCTCAGCGCAGGACTTGACGCGCAATAGAAGACCATTAGCGCTACAAAGAGACGACGAAGGCGCGTCATCGTTGATAGATCTCTCTCGCGCCTGAACAGATCCTGAAATATATCAGTCTGTGTGCCTGGCTGCGACGCGCGTATCAAAGTTTGGCGATTACACGCGGATTTCGGGCTCCCTCAATGTTGTGTGACACACTATAATCGTTGTTCTTGGCCCAATATCATTGTCGCGCTCACGAAACAACCGCCCGTGTATGTCGTCCACGTGTGTGTTTGCTAGACGATGGCGGAACGCGTACTAAAATTAACGAGGAGATCACAGTAGCAGATCCTAAACGTCGGATGCTGTTTGTGTGTAGTGACGATCCCTCCTCCTCGTTGGTTTGATGCGTCGTTCGAGAATACGCATGAGTAACTTTTTGTCTATTTTTTTTTTTTTTTTTTTTTGTATTTTTTTTATTTATACAAACTCTGAGACTTCGCGAGATAATTTTCTATTCGCGTGTAAACACAACATTCGACACGATTTAAATTACGTCATCAAACTTACTCTCGCAATTGAGATTCAAAATTACGTAATTATCTCTGTTGATTTATTAAACTAATCAAGTTTCATAATCGGTGAGAAGTTGACCGCTTGGAAAATTGATGAAAAATCCGCGAAAAGAGGACGGACTTACGGAGCGTTAACAGCAGCGGCGACGCATAATAATCTCCCCGTGCGCGACCGTCATTAACTTAATCATAACGTTTGCGAATCATCACCGTTTTTACGCCAACGCGGCGCTTGTAATCTTCCACGCGCGCGCGCACGCTTTAGCGCTCTAATGTATGTACTTTAGTCCGATCGCGCGCGCGCATTTAGTGGATCTCGCACGATTTGCGGAAGTGTTGTTTTCGCCGACGGCGACGAGCCTCGGGAAAACGCCTCGGTGTTTCTCAAACGAGTCGACGAAGAGGGTCGTGGCCCCTCGCGGAAAAATGTCGCTGCGTCGGCCAAGTTCTTTGTGAAAAAATACCGTCTCTACATCGCAAGACGCTCATCGCGAGCCTAACGGTCGATCATTATCCGCAATTTTGCGGTATAACGACAGACCGATCGGTTGCACCAATTACTCCGCATGCGCGCCGGTATAAAACAAATGTCCCGCGGGAACGATTGCGGAAAACACACGTGGGGAGAGAAACATGACCGCAACAGCTGGGACGATGATAGCGTCGAAATCTTCGATCGATTCTCATCGACGAATTACGCTCTCGCGTATAGAAGTTAAAGGAAGATATATTACAATTGCGTAAGTGGCTCCGTGTAGATTCTCGACTGTATAATTTTGTTTATTAATCGTTTCTTCACGAGAATATATTCTTTCGATTCTCTCGCGAGAATATCACTTGATATCTCGCAAGATGGAAATCTTGCGAAAGAGCACGAATTTCGCTTGACAATCTGACGCGAAATCTTAGGAAATAAGAGAAGATGATAATCTCCGAGGAAACGCGCGCGTCCATTTTGAATATAAAAGAGAGATTTATTCGCGCGCGCATCGCGAAATAACACGTCGGAAACGAATTACGCCATCGCGCGGATACGATACGCGTGATAATAATAATAATAATACACGATGTTTCGATACGACACGATAGTATCGTCGCGAAGCGAGGAAGTTTTGCAAATATATCGCGCAATGCAAGAATTTACATTCGGATTTTCCGAGAGACGCGAAATCGCTTGCGTTCTCTTCTCGCATCTGCCTGTGACAAAAATGTCTACTTCCTACGAGCAAAGAGATCAAACGGAAGTGCGATCTTCGGAGAGTTTTTGCGAACTGTTCACTCGCTCCGCTTCGCGCGCGAAAATCCGGAAAGTGCGACCGAGGAATGTGAAATCTTCTTTTTCGCGAATCTGGTCACGAACGAGAGCCCCACATCCATCCCATCGACCTCGCGGTCGCCACCACCGCGACGAGAGACATCGTATTGTTTCCTTCGTTAAACCGAAGTGATCATTCCGAGTGCCATTTGCCTTTTGCGTGCCACTCGGTGCGCTCGGTGCGTCCGATCGAACAGCAAGAATTTCGGAACGAGATATCGTTATCGAAGTCGCGGGTCGGAGGAAGCGATCCGAGAAGTTATCCGCGCGATATTCCGGAGCGGTGCGCGTAAGTTTATAAGAGTCGAGAGAGAAAGAGAGAGAGAGACAATAATTTCTTATAAATTCCTCGATATTTTTAAAATTCGCAAAAATTTCAAAACGATACTTTTACTAGTCAACTACGTCTTAGTTTTAAGTTAATTAGTAATTAAATGAAACGCGAATATAAAGTGAGTTTTATAATTGACAATTTATCTCGCGATCTCGGAGAGCGATGATTTTTTTTTTATGTCGTCCGAACAAATTCCGAATTCTCGCAAGGTGCGTCGACTTTAGAGCTAGGTGACAATTTTACCGGTCGAATCGCGTCACCTGATTACGCGCAACGTAAATTAAACGAGATCTCGCTCCTTCAATACGGTATTCCGATCTCATCACGTTGGTCACGATTGACGGGAGTGCGTGACATCCGGTGCCGCGTCTGGGAAGAACACGAAGAATTCGTCAGGATGGTGGCCGAGCTAGCGGACATTTTCACGGCGACGGTCGACGACAAGGCATCGCCGGGCGACACCTCGGGACGTCGCAAACGCGCCAAATGGATCCGAACGGCGACGCGTGAGCCGATCTACAGTGTCCTGGATAGCGACGAGAGTCTGCCCCCGAATATTCGCGGCAAGATCGTGGTGATCAGCGCGGTGAAGAACAACGAGTCAAAACGGAAGTCCCCGCCGGAGAGCAGAGCGTCGTCGATTCTCGAGGTCGAGGACACCCTCTACAGCGTGGTGAGGAAACCGAAGAAAGTGCGACTGCCGGAAACGTCGTCCTCCGAGGAGGCAATTCGACGATCTGCCGTCGATCGGACGCAAACCGGGAACACCGCTGAGAAATCGCAACAGCTGGACGATCCCGAGAACACGCCCGGACGAGTCGAGGTGAGAAAGTGGCTGAGCGACACGCCTAGACGGGCTCTTCCGGAACTACCGGGGATGTATACCGATCGGAGCGAGTACGAGAACTCCTGGCACGATCACCGGGACAGCTCGGTGGCGATGCCCAGGGGTGTGGTGGGTCTCGTCGGACCCTACCGGGTGTACGGGAACCCCAACGAGAGAAGAGAGTACATGCTCCAGGAGGAAGAACTTGTCGAGGAAATAGTGGATTCCGCGAGCGAGAGGGTGCAGGAAGGAGGCAGCAGCAAAGAGGAGCATCGTCAGCGTGCCAAGTGGAAGATCCGGGAGGACGACGAGGAGACCCTGGTGCCGGATATTCGGGATCTGCCGTGTCTGGAAATGAAGTCGGTGACGGGCGACGGGAAGAAGAACGACGAGTGGAAGGAGGAACAAAGATCGACGACGGAGAAATCAGGATGCGTCGAGAGGATCGTGTCCGGTAAAGAGGAGCGCGCGGTGGACGTTCCCGACACGATGTCCGACGCGGTTTCGACAACGCTCAAGGACAAATGGGGTGAGACAGACAGTTCGTCAGACGCGATTGAGAATGACACGTTTTCACAAATTTATAAATAAATAATATATAAGTATATATTAACTATAACGTAATGTTTGTCTATAAATATGTAAACTGACTCTTCGTGGGATTATTGAATTTGCAAACGGGATCGTTCCCACACACGGTATCATTGATTCACATTGAATTAATTAACATTTACATAAACACATACGCGCGATCGGTAAATATTTACTGAATTCTTAATCGAGGAGCGAGATATCGATGCTTGAAATGATTGACGAGGTTGCTCTTCTCATGACGTAGTTGCGCCAGTGATCTCTTTCGTCTATTGATCCACTTGTGAATTACAGTCATGCACTTACGGTACAGTTTTGAGACGGACTTAGAGAGGAGACCGTAATAACAAGTAGCACCGGCGTGCGTAAAACGACAGGCGCGTAATTCGACAAAGTGTGTCATTTGCATTCGGTATGCGCGACGACAAGCGTCTATCTTACGGTATTGTCCCCCGGTAAAAAGGACTCGACAGGGTATGTATAGCGGTATGGATGGTACAAATGTACCGGGCGTGCATACGCGTCGACATCACGATACGTGCGCGGTATAGTTTATGAGCTAGGTCAACATCAACGTTCAGAAGCTATGCACTTCTCTGTTCTTTCTGTCTGCACACACCTGTCCGTCCGTCTCGCCCGCAACGGTGAATGACGTCTCGCTCGCGCGTCTAAAAGTTTGGACTCGCGCGGAGAGACTCGGACATTCATCAAGTCCCGAGATAGAACACAATGGAACTTAGAATTTTACCAGAACCACCGTTTGAGAAAACGAGCTTCGATAGGATTTTTGACGAATCGAATTTTCTTTCCCCCTCCCGCGCGGTCCGAACATAAAAAAACACATATTTTAAAAATAATATAAATTCTCAACTGTAATATTTTTTAAAAAACAATTTTTCTCTACGTGATTATTAATCATCGATGACGTTCGTATCGTCTCTCGATACGTTTCGATCTCCGAAGCCGCTAGTTCCGACGAATTTTTCTCGACGGTGCAAACGACGGTGTAAAAATCCACCAACGGTCTTAAAATCTCTAACGGACGCGCTCTGTCCGTATTGTATATTATATCGCGCCGTATTGTTTCGGAGTTGAAACGAGCAGCTTTCTAGCAAAGTCCGGTGTTGATGCTTTCCTTCGCGAGAGACCTTTCATTATATCTTCGTTCGATATGGCGCACTTCGGACACGTTGTACGTACGTATACATCACACGAATTGTGCGAGCACGCGCGCGACTTTCACCATTTTTACAACACCTTTTTATAACCGCGCGGATCAACATTTTTACGATCTCGAGTGTCGTTGCGCGGGGAGGACTCGTTTCACCAAATCCCCGACGACTCTTACTCTTGTTCGCGCGCGCGTCCCGCCGTTTATTTCCTGGTTGACTGGCCGCGCTTCGCTCGCGAGAGCGCTTTTTACGCAAGCGCCGTTCACGCCGTAGAGCGCGTAAATGCGTCGGAACTATCGCCCGATATTTGCATTCAGGAAATTAGAAAGCATGCACAAGCAAACGGGTTATCCCATCGGAATTTAAGACGCGAAAGAAATACGGTCCGCGTGATATAATAATCGTTGCGCGCTCGCGAGAACTCCTCCGGTCAGAAGCCGTAAAACAATCGCGCGCGAGCGCGGGTGAAAAGACCGCTATTTATTCTCGCACGTAAACTTTTCAGGCCGTTCTACCGCGAATTGTTTTCTCGGCGCATTGCGCGCGCGCGCGCGAGAGAAAAGAATAAAACACTTTAACTCTCTGGAAAGACGCGATTTCGGGAGCGAGCGCGAAAGCGAAGGGACGAGATCATTTCGACGCGCGACAAAGTTTCAACGACCGAATATTTAAAGAAATATAACAAAATATGTAATAAAAAACAAAATACTCTTATACAACATTGAAAACTGTTAATTAAGAATATATCCTAAAACATTGAGAATTGTTACATTGAATATATTAACACACCTAATAATTGGTTCTTTAATAAATATCCCACATAACAGTTACTTGTCCGGTTATTTAATTTAATTTTTGTATTCAATAAACACTCTTAACGAGGAGAAAGTTAAAACTCTGACACAAATTTGACGCCGATAATTCGAAGGTAATATTCTCTTGAAAACACGAATGATGTCTCAATAAATTGACAGATTAATTTAATTTTCACGTCTCCGACGTATCGATGCGTTTCGGACATCTGAAAAGAAATGCCACCATAATAAATAATTGAAATATTACGCAATATTTCAACAGTCAAACGAGAAAGACGAGACTGGAAATGTGACATTTTTTTCATCCGACCGTAACTTACTTTCGTGTTTCACAACATCGTCGCGTCCTGACTCTATTAATCGTCGCCTAACATCGATCTGTCAACCATATGACGCCACCGTTACCAAAGGCCTTCTGACATGCCTCAGTCACTGTTACACATAACTGATTCTCTGTAGTTAGATGATGCAGCTGCACCGCCGCCGAACATCGGATCTGTACAGTTAACCACTTTTCTCGGAGCGCGGTGTTGCTGCTGACGCATGACACAATTGCATCTTCGCGCGAAAATACACACACACACACACACACACACACACACACACACACGTGTGTGTGTACAAAATATGTGCGAGAGTATACAACTACGCGGCCTTCTCTCGAACACGACCATACGTTTACGACTTTTTCGACGCAGATGTTCTCTCGAATCGGAGAGTGAGAGAAACGACTATCGCCAGAAATATCCACGTCGGTCATTATGAAAGTGCCGTCGCGAGTAACGATGATACGCGCGGTGGCATGATGGATCTGGCTGAACGAATCGCAGGCAAAACAACATTTACCAAATCGCAACGCTTCGTAATCAGAAGAAACCGGGACCGGTCTTGATCCGTCTCAAAATATTGAGACGAATCGAAGGTGAACGTGATTTGAATAAGATAAAATTATAATTACAAAATAATAAATATTTTTGCATATATAATATAATTAAAAATAAAAATATAATTAAAAATTATAAAATAATTACAAAATATTAAATATTGTTCATTATTATAATATTGAAATTATAATATTAAAATAATGAAATAGCATATAATACACCGAACTCATATTATAATTTTAAATAACTATTTAACATTCTCTTTTTCACTCCGCGTACGTACGATATGCATCTTCACGAAAGTGAAACATTCGGAAACTTTCGAAAATTTAACGTAACGTTTCATCATGATAATTACTACTGCTTCCTTTTCAATTAAATCTTCCGAATTTAAATCTCGAACTTTTCTTACTTGCGTAAGATCCCGTTATCGACAGCGTAATCAAGTTGTTTGCGTTTTCGTTTTTTACAAGCTGCATCTTTTATCGACGTCCTTCGACGCAGCTTCGTATGAAGAAGCGATCGTAGAAATTCTTCAGGTGCAAAAAAAAGTAAAAATTGTCACGGCTTCCATATAAAATGGCGTCTCTTTTTTTTCTCTCTCTCGTCTTCTTTCTTTTATACGATTATATTTTATTGCGACAATAAAATTCTCAGCGATATCTTATGCGCCGATCGCCGTGTAAAGCGCGATATCACGTCGCACACGACCGTTTCCTCATTGACATGTTGTTTGACATTTCCTTTCCCCGATTCCCGTTTTTGCGTTTTTCTCGCCGATTTTTTTATGTTTGTTAATTATCAACAGATGTCTTCCTTCGACGCGTTACCCGCTACGCGCCCGCAACCTGTTATTATTGCATAATTACAAATTATATCGTCGACAACACTCTCGAAAATTTCTTGCGCGCGAGTTTTTCACACGCACGCACGCACGCACGCACGCACGCAAGTCAGGTGTTGAAAATAATTTTTTTCTTAAATTCTTTCGAAATAATTTACATAATTTTGAGACGCGTCTCGGTTGTAATTTACGGCAAATTAGATGTCGAAAAAAATGGTTTCTTATTTACATCGAAGTATATATACGGTCTCTTCATTCGCACGCCGTATATAATCTCGCGTAGTATTTATTATCACGGAGAGAGGAACTGATAGTTCTCGCCGCGGAATCCAACTGTGGATTTGCAAATGTTGTGTATCTCGCGCGGGTTCGCGAGAAGGAAGATAAGTAGCATCGTCGATTTATTTGCCGACCGTCAGGCAGCTGCTTGCTGACGCGATTGTTGGAATATATATACGTATATATATGTACACACGCGCGATCAGATGATAACCTGTCGGGCGGCGAATGATCGCCAATTATGCTTGTGTCACGTCGTTTAAGCTTTACAGATGCTTTCGATAATAAATGAATGTAATCTGCTCCTCATCAACAGTCACCCCTACTCTCTCTCTCTCTCTCTCTTTTTCTCTTTCTTTCCATCTCTCTCAGTCGCGTTATTACTCAGTCCTCCGCAATTGTGGCCGCACATTATATCGATTGAATCATCGCCGTTACTCAAGGATATAAATATCGTATATATATCCGCGCGCGTAAAAAAATATTACTATCGCGGTCGAGAGAGAGTTACGAGAGGCATTATATTTTGCGACGACGCCAAACGCTCGCGGAATTTTGCACGCGCCGTAAATAGCTCGCACGTATTACCCCCCCGCGGCACCACGTGACATTTATTATCCTCGTAATTAAGCACCCTCGCCTATTTTGCGAGCCAGAGAGAACGGATGTGTGTACCGCGCGCGCTAATTGTGTCGAAGAAAAACTGAGATAAAAAATGGCTGTTCCACTCGTGCGTGGTTCTCGAAAAGAAAAGTTATTCTAGATTTCACTTTGTGTGTGTGTGTGTGTGTGTGTGTGTAACACCAACAAAAACAAAAGAGGAAACATTTAAGTAATATGCTTCGATAATACGAAGAAATTGCAACCGCGCGATTATATACCGCGTGCAAAGTGCACAAATTGCGTAAAAGCAGGTTATTAATCATCGATTACCTAACGATTTA